GGGGGACTGTTCAGCGATTTGTAGACATACAGGAGTATTCTGAACTGGATTCGAAGGTGAACCAGTAGCCAGTGCAGTGAGGCCAAAACTGGTGTAATGTGCTCTCTTTTGCCTGTACTGGTTAAATATCGGGATGCTGCATTCTGGACCAGTTGTAGTCGTGCAACGGAGGTCTGACTGATACCAAACAGGAGTGAATTGCAGTAATCAAGCTTAGATGTAATGAATGAATGTATTACTGTCTCCAGGTTATTTTTGGACAATATGGGCTTCAGTTTAGACAGCCGCCTCAGTTGGAAGAAACATGATTTAACAATCATGTTTACATGATTGTTAAATCATGTAAACATGATTGTTAAATCATGTTTACATGATTGTTAAGTTTCAGGGAAAGGTCCATTATCACTCCCAGATTAGTGACTCTTTGTTTTTCTGACAGGGTTGGGGTGCATTCACACCAGCCCCGTTTAGTCCGCTTTGTAGCAAGCAAAATGAACTCTATTCCTTGACGGATATTGAGTCCCTGGGAGACTCTTTTTAGAGTTGCTGGCCCCATTTAACCCAGTCAGAACCAGGTCATAATTTCATTATAATCCCGTCTCTGAGCAGATCAAAAAACACAGGGTCAGTCTAAATAAATATCCTAACAAAAGAAAATTAAACTTTACAAGAGTAAGATTCAAATGAAAGTGTAAATCATGTGAGGACATGTCTCTTTAAGAAACAGAGTCTGTGTGAGCAGCTCATCTGCTCACACAGACTCATGTTCGTGCTGATGTTCAGCGTATTGTTTTTATGCTATTAGTGCTTAGTGTATATTTAGTTGATGCTTTTCTTAGTTCATATTTTTAGTTCATATCTAGGATATTATTACTATTTTTTTTTTACATTTTATTGTTGGATGTAACTGGGACCCTGTGTACCACATGTGGTGCGAACGACAATTTTTTATTTTCTTTTTTTTCATTTACCCTTTATTTATACAGGTAGTCACATTGAGCCACGAGAACTCATTTTCAAGAGAGACCCGTTTAGGGAACAGAATCTGTATCTATATTAAAGAGAAAGTGGAACTTCTGGACAAACTTTAAGATCGCCGTACCTATGCAGCTGTTGCTGGCCGCCTACAGCCTGGTTGTCAGGATGGAAGCTGCATTGGTCTTGTGGATTAATGATTGCAGAAAAAAAAAACATCACTTTGGATACCAACACCAAAGGTGAAACAACTTTACTGTTTTATTATCTCTCAGCAAGCAGCCCGGAAGAAGAGAAATGGCGATGTGAATGAGGAGCGGGGAGCGATTTGGATTGAAAAGTGTTTCTCTGCATGGAGAGGCTGCGTCCGCAGACAGCAGAAGTTTGTTAACACGACATTCAAACATCTGATCTCTGAGCCAGGGGCCTACAGGTCTGAACAAGTTTTTAGCGTGGACGAAACGGGCCTGTTCTGGAAAAGGACAGTGGAAAAGGACAATCTCACACTTTCATTATGAAGTATGAAGCCAAAGCACCTGGTTTCATCTCATCTTCATCACCTTCAACATCATCACTGGACAGCTAATTCTTCATCTCCACCTCTTCTTCATTTTCATATTCTCTGGTGAGTACCCATTTAAGATTAATATTTTTAAAAGTTAAGAGTTTAGAAAAATGTTAGGCACATTGCAAAAGTGTGGGAAGGGTTTAAAACACAACATGTACATGTATATAAATACTAAAATAAACTACTAATTACTACTACTACTATATTAAATACTAAAATAAACTACTACTTACCAATACTAATACTTACTACTATTACTTGTGTACATAATTTTGTTCCATATCATGTACCACATGAGATGGCAATGACAAAGTGTACTTGAACTCGGATTACTGTATCCATACTTCACGGTTTTTCACTTATTGCTGGGGGGGGGGGGGGGGGCAGGGTATGGAACACCCGCGATAAACGAGGGACTACTGTACAGTACTCTGTTGTCTTGATCTAGGCATATGCACAGTTTCAAAGGGAAATCCAAGCATGTCTTTGTACAAGATACACCAAATGTGTAAAATTATGTTTGAGAGCTGGCAGCCCTGAAAGGAACAGCTTCTAAAATAAAGGGGTTTTAGGTTGTTACTTTTATTTATTTATTTATTTTTTACAATGTAAAAAAGAAACAATGAATGTTCAAATACTAAAAGGGCACTAACATCTGCTGTTGTCTCGTTGCAACCCTGTCATTGATTAATCATTTAGTAAGTTAAGTTACAAACCCAAATAATATTTATATTTACACAAAATGTTCCAAAAAAGTAAAGTTAGCTTCATAAAAACAATAACTAAACTTTTACAAATATTGACATTGATCTCAACATACAAACCTAATCTGTAGAGTTGAACACAATCTTCTCCACCAGTTGCTGCTTTCATCTGGTCAGCTGAGCTGCTGGCTGGAAGATCTCCATCTTCCACTTGGTGCTGATGAAACTGAGAGGACAGAGGTTTCTCTTCATCATCCTCACTCTTCAAATGAACTGCAATGAAGGAGAACCTGGTGTCATCAGTCTCCTCCTTCACACTGAGCTGCTCTACATCCAGACTGATCCTCAGTTCCTCCTCTTCCTCCTTTATGTTGAGGGTCTCTGGGTCCTTCTGGTCCACACCAGAACTCCGTTCTTCAGGAGCTTCTTCTTTAATCAGCACCGTCTGATGAACATCTGCAGGGAACACTGAAACACATGAACAATAAGGACAGTTATAACTTTATATTCACACAAACATCACTGGTGTTTTCAATGAGTTCACTGATCAGCTCAAAACAACATCTAATGCTGGACGTCAGAAAAATGTCCTGAAACTAAATCCATAAAAGAGAGAGGTTCTAATGGCTGACTCCCAGAAGATGGTAAAACATGTAGAGGTGGAGACATTTTTTTTGGCCAGACAGTGTAGATGGCATCACAAGAAAGACCATTATGAAGAAATATTGAAGACATCAGCCAGAAAGTTAAATCTAGGGAGCAAATGGGTCTTTTAAATAAACAATGACCGTACGTATTCTGCAAAATTAGTAACAAAGGTGGCTTAAGGACCACAAATAAAATTTATGTTTTAGTGTATACACCACAAAACCCTTGATCTGACAGAAAATCGGTGGACAGAGCTGTAAAAACGTGAGCGAGCAAGGCGGTCTAAAAACCTGACAGTTCTCTCAAGACATATGAGACAAAATTACAACAAACTATTGTTAGAAACTCAGAAGGAAATCCAAACTGTTTGATTCAATCATAGTTTACAGGCAATGTTACCAAATACTAAGAAAATGGATGGTTACGTGTGATCTTGAAGAGAGCAATCAACCAATTATCTAAAAAATTTTATCTAATTTTTACATTTGGGCATTTAACAAATAATATATATAATTTAGAGAATCCTAAATGACTTATAGAAAAAGTTTAGCCACAATTAATGGCAGTGAAACAAAATGGCAACAAGCCTTTTTAAATGTGTAAATAAACATGTAGTTTTGACGTTACATCCCCACCAAAATTCAGCTCAGAGACTCACCTTGATAACGAGCTTTTAGGACCCATCAACAAGGTTCTGGCTGGATTTTAAACGAAAAAAAAAGTGACGAAAGTGCGACAGCACATGATGCACACGGTCCTCGAAAGATGCTAAGTCACGTAGCTACAAAAACCGCAGCTAAAATACAGCACACTAAATAAGATGAATGTATTTATACAAACCTAATGTGTGCAGACGATCTCTGGGGTTCAAACCAGCATCGAGGATTGTGTTTTGTTGCATTTTTTCTTTTAAACGAGACCGTTCCTCTTCATAACCTGGGCCTGTTTTGTCCAGAAACTCCGACATTTATTCCGCTGCTGCTTCCGGTCATTGTTTAGCCTGATGTCTCCACATCTGTTAGCTTTCGTTGATCTAAAGTTTCCTTTAACACTTACTGAGCCAAACTCGAGATGGCAGATTCACTGTAAACGTTACAGAAACTTCATAAATCGCTAAAAAGTAAAGACAGTTCGTCTGAAGCTAAAGCTAGTGAGCGTTAAAAAAAAAAACAACAACAACAAGAGTGACGACAGTGACGAAAGAGCGCTGAATCGGAGCTTGATTCGTTTGGCATGAGTCACGTGATAAATGACGTCAGAATAGCTGAGAGCGCCTAAGTTGCTGATTTGACATAAGATTCAATTAATTTCAATTCATTTTATTTATATAGGGCCAAGTCACAACAGAAGTCATCTCAGAGCAGTGTACAAAAACATATAAACATATACAATAGTCCCTCGTTTATCGCGGGACCACGCCCTAGGCTGCAATTACACTCATTCATCAACTATATACTCTCAATCTCCCTCCTTAAATAAACAATTTCAATTTAAATACTGTAACATTTTAAATGAACAATCCATGAAGAGCTTTAGGACCACGCAAAAAAAAATAAAATAAAATTACATTGTCACCCTAAGAAAAAAAAATAAAAAGCCATAAAATTACGAGATTAAAGTCATAGTATTATGAGAATAAAGTCTTAATATTATGAGAATAAAGTCGTACAAGACTTTTTTTTTTAACAGCTGTCGTTAATTTTTTTTTCCCACGAGTCGGAGCCACAACACAACCTGCCAATCAATCTAGTAGGCGTGTCAGCAAATGACAATTCCGAAACTAAATGAGTCGTAATATCTGAACTCCGACACGATAAAGCAGGGTTTACTGCATTTTAACTACGGTAAAATGAAGAATGTTTGTTAAACTTTATTGTAATTGATGCTCTTACGTGTTCCAATACTGCCACTTGCTTTTGTGATTTTGTATGCTGCTTCTGGGATACATATACATGATGTCATTATGTCATGACTTTCATTTTTGTTTCCGTTTGAAAACGGCGCTCAGTGAGAGAAACTGTGTAATCTGTTAGCACATCAGCATCAGATTATTATCAATATCAGGACTTTGAATTTGAACCTGCAAAGTAAGGTGGTACATTCAAGCTCTCTGCAGGTAACGAGCATATATCTTCAGATTGGAAATTTGCTGACACGCCTAACGGATTGATTGATAGGTCGCGTCATGGATCCGACTCCTGGGAAAAAAAATTAAGAATCCAGTGTCTCACCGAACTCCTCCCACATCCGAGCTTTTGCCTCTGCAACAGGTAAGGCTGTGGACCGCTTGGCCCTCCGGTACTCCTCAGCTACCTCCGGAGTCCCACCAGCCAACACGGCCCAATAGGACTCCTTCTTCAGCTTGACAGCCTCTCTAACCCAGGGTGTCCACCACCAAGTTTGAGGATGGCCACTACGAGAAACATCAACAACCTTGCGGCCACAGCTCAAGGCAGCCACTTGAACAATTGAGTCGCAGAACATGGTCCACTTGGACTCAATATTCCCCGCCTCAGCTGGGATGCAGTTAAAGCTCTCCCAGAGGTGTGAGTTAAAGATCTGTCTGACAGGTTCTTCTGCCAGGTGTTCCCAGCAAACCCTCACTACACGTTTGGGTCTACCAGGTTTGTCCGGCATCGTCCCCCGCCATCTGACCTAACTCACTACCAGGTGGTGATCAGTTGACAGCTTAGCTCCTCTCTTCACCCGAGTGTCCAAAACAAAAGGCTGCAAATCACATGACACGACTACAAAGTCAATCATCAATCTACAACCTAGGGATTCCTGGTGCCAAGTGCACTTATGGGGACATCCTTATGTTCGAACATGGTGTTAGTGATGGACAAACTATAAATTTGTTTGATAATTCTTAATGTTTTGTGAAGTCAATTTTTTTTTTAAGTTGATGTCTTTTTTGAAAACATTTGTATGTTAACACATTGCCCTGGATTTTTTTATGTTGCATATATAGTACAATATGCCCAGTTTTGTTCTGTTTTTTTTCCTTTTTTTTAAATTCATTTTTATTCTTTGTAACTTTATAAGTATGCAGTGTGAACACATAATGCATGTTATGGTACCTTGTTGATGATGACTTTATAATAATAATAAAAAAATAAAGTGTGGCACCAGGTGTCTTCAATATTGAACCTTTTCACAATATTCTAATTTTCTGAGATACTGAATTTGGGGTTTTCATTAGTTGTCAGTTATAATCATCAACAATAAAAGAAAAAAACAATTGAAATATATCAGTCTGTGTGTAATGAATGAATATAATATACAAGTTTCACTGTTTGACTGGAATTACTGAAATTAATTAACATTTTAATGATATTCTAATTTTATGACCAGCACCTGTATATCAAAGCAGTGGGAAATGGCAGGAAAAATGGATGTAACAGAAAAGTGGAGAACAATCATTGAGGTAGAGGGAGTTTGGCTGGAAAAGTGATGATACTTTATTACACCTTACCAACAATCCAGTTATAAAGGTAATCTGTGGAAATAAAAGTACAAATCATTACCATATTTTTGGGGACTGTCAAGTAATTAAAACTTATTTGAATGAGATACATATCTTTACAAGATATTGGAAGTCTACTGCCTCTAGAAAGTAAAGCATTTTTTAGACTCATGCCTGAAGGATGGCCACAGAAAAACAAATATTTGTTTAATATTTTATTAGCAAAGTGCAAAAAAAGTCCTCACAAAAAACTGGTTTTCACTCGAGAGCCCAACGTTGAACATATGGATGGAAATCACAATGGACATATACAGGATGGAGAGAATAACTGCAGAATGACGAAAAAGACCAATTTACTTTATGTTGGAAGAAATGAGGGCAGCACGGTGGCGCAACTGGTAGAGCTGCTGCCTCTCAGCGAGCAGGTCCTTGGTTCAAACCCCGGTCCGGGGGCCTTTCTGGGTGGAGTTTGCATGTTCTCTCCATGCATGCGTGGGTTTTCTCCAGGTACTCTGGTTTCCTCCCACAGACCAAAAACATGCATGTCAGTCTGATTGGTAACTCTAAATTGTCTCTAGGTGTGAGTGAGAGAGTGAATGGTTGTTTGTCTCATTTGTCTCTATGTGGCCCTGTGATGGACTTGCGACCCGTCCAGGGTGTACCCCGCCCCCTCGCACAGTGATTGCTGGACATGGGCACTGGGGACCCACGTGACCCAAAATGGAAAAAGCGGGTAAAGATAATGGATGGATGGATGGAAGAAATTGAAGGTTTATATAAAATCACACCGACCCGATCTAGACAATTTCTAAATGATATATTGATTGTAACAAAAAAATCACTTTCACTCCCTTTGTGTTGTTTGTTGTGTTCCCTATTTTTGTTGTGCAAAAAACAAACCAATCCAAAAAAAAAAAAAAAAACGGGGCATTTAAATGGATACTTTACAAATAATTGGAAGTGGATGGACATGTTAAATATGTTTATAATTATCAATCAAATGTATAAATAAATAAATAAAAATAAAAATCTTGTTCACATTTAGGGCTGGACAATAATTCTATATCGATATATTTCACAATATACTTTTATTATTATTATTTTATGAACGGTGAAATTAGTTTTAAGCAGATTTTTGACATTTCGATACACATTACGCTATGATTACAGCGTTTCACTGACGCATTTCCTTTTCTGTTCGAGTTGAAGCGGTTGCTTTTGTTTCAACTCAAACAGAAAAAGCTGCGACACAACAACGTAAGTGCATGGTGACATACACTATAGCTGGAAGGAGTTAGCACTAGCAGGCTAGGCTAAAGCTCCAACGCACAATAAGTTTTCGCTTCAAAATGAGTGCCCATGACCGTCAGAATGTGACTGAACAAGCTTTCACAAGCGAAGAGAAAGCAGATGACATAACTGATAAGAGAAGAAAGACTAATTTGGCGGTGTGGAAGTGGTTCGGCTATCTAAGATCTGATAAACTGCAAGTGTGATGCAAAATGTGTCTAAGAGTCATTCCAACCAATGGTGGGAACACATCTAACTTGTTCCACGTTTCCACTCGATAGAATATGCTAAGAGTCAGGAGATGAAGCACAATAAAAGTTTGAGCCAACGTATCCCTGAAACAACACCCCCAGCTGTATCAAAAGAGAAACCCATGCAGCAAACGTTGTTTATAAAGTTAAAACTATTAATACTGAAGTTGAGAGTTTTATGTTTATTTGATGGTGATTTCAAATTTCTTTGAAAGCTAAATACAAAAGGTGAACATTAATTTATTTTTATAGTTTGTACAGTTTTTCTGAGGCTTTTATATTGTTTATATCAATATCTGAATTATAGTTATCGACATAAATTAAGAAATATATTTTGACAAAAGTTTTGGCCATACCGTCCAGCCTTATTGCATTTATAGCTGAATCAACACATAAATGTTTAAATAATAGACAACAAGAAAACTTTCTACAGTATGCCTTATACAGTCTGTTCTTTAAAACAAACATACTTTTTAATATTATGGTAAATTAAATACTAAAGTTATAAATAAAATCTTGTAAATATACTAATTTTATACAAACTACTATATTCATCAGGAATTGTTATGTACACAAAAAATAAAATGTTGAAAACTCACACCTAGCATCTCAGCTGCTTGAGTGCTGGTGTGAAAAAATGACACTTGATATTAAAATTATTGAAAAAAATTAATTAAAAATAAAATAAACAAATGGCTTTCCACAGTTAGTTTCAAATCCCTCAGCGCATGAGCTACTTGGTTTGCTATACTGGCACCTCTCATTGCTCTTCATTGACAATGATAATTAGGATCACAAAGCTTTTCCACATAGCTGACTTGAAGGCAGGTCTTCAAGCTCCTCTGTTTCATCTGAACAAAATCTGAACATGCTTTACTTTGGTGTGGAGAGCTTCAGAAGGTATGTTCTACTTATCATAGCAGTTAAGAAAATGCACTTGAATAAATAGTCTGCCTGCTTCTAGAGAGGTGACCAACATACTTTCCATTAGCATCTCTGTACCTGTCCCTAACACAATCTGTGACAGACTGGTAAAATAAATCTACAATTACACCTCTAACATAAACACACATTACTGTAAAAAAAAGTGCAGTTACGGAAAACAATTAATCAAACAATAATTTTTACAAAACACCGTAGACCTCTAACATAAATACATACATTACTGTAAATAAAAATTAGTTATGGAAAACAATTATGAAGTCATTTTTACAAAAAAAACCTTAGTGCTGTTTAGTTTCGAGTTTGAGTGAACTCTTGTGTCTTTAGAAACTGTCTTAATATTTAGAACTGAACTGGTTCTCCTCCTGTGTGGATTTCCAGATGACTGTTTAAATTTGAGTTATTTCTAAACTTTTGTCCACAAAAATCACAAGCAAACGGATTTTGGCCAGTATGGATTATCATGTGTGTGTTTAATTGAGACTTGTGTCTAAACCTTTGTCCACAAACATCACAAGCAAATGGTTTTTGTCCTGTGTGGATGCTAATGTGTATGTTTAAACTTGACTTGTGCCCAAACCTTCGTCCACAAACATCACAAGCAAATGGTTTCTGTCCTGTGTGGATTCTCATGTGTCTGTTCAAACTTGACTTGCGTCCAAACATTTGTCCACAACCATCACATGCAAATGGTTTTTGTCCTGAGTGGATTCTCATGTGTGCGTTTAAAGTAGACTTTTGTCCAAACCTTTGTCCACAGACATCACAAGCAAATGGTTTCTGTCCTGTGTGGATTCTCATGTGTCTGTTCAAATTTGACTTTTGCCCAAACCTTTGTCCACAAACATCACAGACAAATTGTTTCTCTCCTGTGTGGATTCTTATGTGTTTGTTTAGACATTTTCTGTTAAATCTTTTTCCACAGTCATCACAACTAAATGGTTTCTGTCTTGACTGGATTTTTTTGCTTAAGCCTTCAGTTTTCTTCCCTCGAAAACATTTCTCACTAACCAAACAACTTGTGGACTTTATTCTTGAATGACCTGTCTTGTTTCTCTGAACGGACTCCTTGTGGCGAAATTGTTTCTCACACTCAGAGAAGCTGCAAAATTCGTTGACAGTGTTTACACCTGACTCGTGATTCCTGCTCTCCTTCCAGTCTTTGACACTGTCTTCAGGTTCTAATCCAGAGTCTGATGAGTCTTTCAGCTGAGAATCAGGATAATTTACATCATCCTCATCCTCACTGACTTCAGTCTCTGAAGAGTTGGAATCATCTTCATTAATATTTAGATCTGGGTTCCTGGTTGTTCCTGCTCCTCCACAGTCCTCTCCACCAGTTGCTGCTTTCATCTGGTCAGCTAAGCTGCTGGTTGGAAGATCTTCATCTTCCACTTGGTGCTGATGAAGCTTCATGTGTAGAGGCTCTGGGTTCTTTTGGTCCACATCAGAGCTAGCTTCTTCAGAAGCTTCTGCCACAAACAGCGTCATCTGATGACCATCTGCAGAGAACAATAAAACACAAACATTAAGGACAGTTGTAACTTGATATTTACACATAAATCACTTGTTGAGTTCATTGATCAACTCAAAACAACATCTATAATAATAATAATAATAATGTGTTATGTGTTGTCATCACTGTATGTACCCATACAATGGCCAAATTGTCTCTCTGCATTTAACGCATCCACCCCCAGGTGGAGCAGTGGACAGCTATTGGAGGCACCCGGATAGGGTGTGCTGCTCAGAGACACCACAAGATGTGCAATGACTGGGGATCAAATCTGGGACTTTCTGGTCCTGAGTTGGCTGCACTGCCTCTACCCTATCTCGGCCCCACAAATGCTGGACATCAGAAAACCTCCTGAAACAAATTCAGTGAGACAGATATCCTGACTGGCTATCAGAAGATGGTAAAATAAATAGAGAAGACATGTCAAGATAAAGACTAGCCATATTTCATGTATTCATCCTCAATCTGTCCGAGACGTGCTGTAATTCAATTCAATGTGGTGCACCGGCTGCACTGGTCCAAAGACAAGCTGTCCAAGATTAAAACTGACCTGGATCTTACATGTAATCATTGTAAACAAACTCCAGCTAAGCTCTTAAACACATTCTGGACTTGTCCAAAACTGCGGACCTATTGGCAATCTATTATTGACACGTTCTCTGGCATATGTGGAAAAACTGTGTACCAGTTACCATTCATTTCATTGTTTGGGGTGGCCCCTGTGGATGCATCCTTAAGCAAGTGCGAGAGGAATATGATTGCCTTTGGCTCTCTTCTAGCCAGGAGACTTATTTTATGCAGATGGAAGTATCCGCATCCTCCAGCATATGAATGTTAAATAAGAGAAGTCATGTATCATGTTCATCTGGAAAAGATAAGATGTACTTTGAAAGGTTCTGTCAAGAAATTTTGCCACACTTGGCAGACATTCGTGTCTTATGTTCAAAATATGTCAATGCCTGTCTAACATGTTCATGTCTGTCCACTTGATTCGATGTGGGAGAGGATTTTGTTATTTTGTTGTATGTTTTGTTTTTCTTGTGTGTAGATTCTAAAGAAAAAAAATCAATAAAAAGACTGATTAAAAAAAGAAATATGCTGCGGTTGCACTTCTGCATTCATTTACAATAACAATGTAACTTTCTGTTCACACTCTACACCTCTGACATCAGGTACAACTCACAATCCTGCATCTGCAGAAGTTTTTGGATGACTCTGTCATTGTGAGCTGCATCACTGGTGACCAGGAAGCTGAATGCCGAGGTGTGGTGGATAGAATCACCTGCAACTCAACGTTGGAAAAACTAAAGAGCTGCAGGTGGACTACAGGAAGAAGACCAGCCCCCCCCCCAACCCTATCAACATCAAGAGTACTAAGGTGAACATTGTGGACTGCTACAAGTACCTGGGGATCCACTTGCACAATAACGTGGACTGGACAGCTAACACCAACGCCCTCTACAAGAAAGGGCAGAGAAGCCTTTTTCTTCTGAGAAGATTCAGGTCTTCTAACATCTGCAGGACCATGCTGCAGATGTTTAACCACTCGGTGGTCTCCAGCATCTTCTTCTACACTGTGGTGTACTGGGGCAGCAGGGTGAAGAAAGCTGATGCTAACACACTCGATAAACTCATAAAGAGAGCTGGCTCAGTTCTGGGAGTGGACCTACAGCCTCTGACAGAGGATGCTTCGGAAACTGCTCCAGATCCTGAACAAGACGTCACACCCCCTGCATGACACAATGGACTCTTACCACAGCACCTTCAGTCGTAGACTGAGACCACCGAGGTGCTCCACAGAACGACACAGGAAGTCCTTCCTCCCTGTGGTTATCAAATTTTCAACTCCTCCCCTTTTCTATTCATAGAACAATAAAATTAATCCTGCACCACAAAAAACACTTTAATGTTTCTGTCTGCACCTGTTTTGGACCTTAATTGTTGTTATTTTTATATTCTCTGTTGTTTTTATATCTTGTGTGATTCCTTGTGTATGTTCTTTTGTATTGAAACTCTGGCACAACAATTTCCTATAGGATCAATAAAGTTATATTTTATCTTAAGTTGTGTATAACATTAATCGGCAGCAACAGCAATTCATGACAATTATTTGTGTGTGTTGCTCTAACAGCAACTGCGCACACACTGTCACTCCTCTAAATGAAATAAAACAGCGGGACAAATCCAACACTTTTATGCCACACTACCTTATTTAGGAGAGTCTCCAACTCACATTTCTCTTTTTCCTGGATGTAGACTTGATTTATGATCAAGCAGAGAGGATAATCAGAGATGCAGAGCATACATGAATCTATTTGTATAATTAAAAAAGGAGGTGGGTTTTGGGAGGTGTCTCGTGCGCTCGGTTCTACGTTGATGAGGATGTAGAAAGGAAATTTATTTCTATTTGTGCATATGCACAGCTTCATAACTCAAAATGTTTTAATGGATACCATTTGTGATTTAGGCATATACATTTTTTTAAAGAAAATCCATGCATTTGTATATGAGACACCAGATGTGTGAAATGAGAGCATGAATGTTGATTGTAGATTGTTAGCAGCTCTGATGCTAACGGCTACTCCCTCCCTCCATCCATCAATCCCCTTCCGATTGTTCTGAAGTCGGGTCGTGGGGGCAGCAGCTTTAGCAGGGTACTTAAAATATTATGTGGTAATTTAAATTTTTGGTTCTTTGCTTTTAACAAGCGGAAACATTAGATGTTCATATATTCAAAGAGCACAGACAATTGATGTTTTAATGTTGTAACGTGAACGTAATGTTTTGTTGGATCAGCAAGCTAAGCTAAAAACACAAATGATAGTTGTACAAGTTCTTCTTAAAGACCGAGTTTGTAAGCTTAATTAAAACTGTAACTAAAATGTTACAAACAGTTGATCCAAATTTACAAACCTAATCTGTAGAACTGAATGTCTGCTCTGCCACAATCTTCTCCACCAGTTGCTGCTTTCATCTGGTCAGCTGAGTTGCTGGCTGGAAGATCTCCATCTTCCACATGGTGCTGATGAAGCTGCGAGAACAGAGGTTTCTCTTCATCATCCTCACTCATCAAAGGCACTGCAGCGAAGGAGAACCTGGTGTCATCAGTCTCCTCCTTCACACTGAGCTGCTCTACATCCAGACTGGTCCTCAGTTCCTCCTCTTCCTCCTTTATGTTGAGGGTCTCTGGGTCCTTCTGGTCCACACCAGAACTCCATTCTTCAGCAGCTTCTTCTTTAATCAGCACCGTCTGATGAACATCTGCAGGGAACACTGAAACACATGAACAATAAGGACAGTTATAACTTTATATTCACACAAACATCACTGGTGTTATCACTGAGTTCACTGATAACTCAAAACAACATCTAATGCTGGACGTCAGAAAAACGTTGTGAAACGAATTTAGTGAGACAGACATCCTGACTGGTTATCAGAAAATAGAGCTGACAGGTCAAGGTAAAAACCAGCCACATTTCAAGTACTGGTAAAATATCCAACGGCAGGTGTATGCAAACAACTAAAACTACAAGCCCCAGAATGCACTGCATGGAACAGCCAGTCAAAACTGAGTCTTATCTAAAAGCAAGAGTTATTTTTTTAATGACCTTGAACAGCTGATGCGTTTTTATACCGCTCATCTGGACTAATGTAACCCCCGTTTGATGGCGTTAGCTGCGGCTCGTCTTTTAACACAAACAAGTGCGCACGTCCATTCATAGGCTCCGTTTGTTTTAGAATTGATATAAAAGGTTTATTGATTACCTATAAGGCTCTGAATGGACAGGCTCCTGTATAACTGTCTTAATTCCCTCCAGATCCCTTAGATCTAATGATCATTTGCTTTTAATAGTCCCAACAGTTTGTTTTATTTCTTCTTCTCTCCAAGGTGGCAGCGCACAGCAGCAGCAGCACAGCGGCTTCTCTCGCTCCCAGTGAAAACACATATTTTTAAGCGTGTGCTGTACAACCGAACTGAACTTTTAGCATAAGAGAAACTGTGGCTTCAAAAACAGCAGCGATGGACCACAATCAGAGCTACACTTGGTAGAATGCAGCTGCTTCAGATATCAGCGTGGATGTATCAACTTCAATACCATGATTCCCCAGACCCTGATGGACAAACTACTCACACTAGGACTAAGCCCCTTCCTATGCAACTGGGTCATGAATTTCCTAACGAACAGGCTAAAGTCTATGAGGATCCACAACTTCTCCTACTCCACAATAATCTTCAGTACTGGCTCCCCTCAGGGCTGTGTGTTGAGCATCCTCCTGTTCACTCTGCTCACATATGACTGCGCACCTACCCATCCAAGCTGTCATTTTGTACAGTTTGCAGACGATGCAGCAGTGGATGGATGAATCACAAACAGTGATGAGTCCAGCTACAGGCAGGAGGTGGAACACCTGGAGAGCTGGTGCAGGAAGAACAACCTCCACATCAATGTGAAGAAGACAAAGGAGATGATCGTGGATTCCAAAAAGAGCAAACACACCTACTCCCCCCCCCCCCCCAGCACACAGGAAGATCTGTGGTGGAAGTGGTCTCTAGTTACAAGTACTTGGGTGTGCACCTGAGGAAACAACACTTCCAGTCTGATCAAGAAGGCACATCAGTGACTCTATTACCCGAGGCGGCTGAGGCAAGCTGAACTGGGAATTTCAGTCCTCGCCTCCTTCTACAGGTGTGTAGTGGAGAATGTCCTGTGCTTCAGCATCAACACGTGACACGGATGCTGCAAAGCTGGAGAGAGAAAAGCTCTGGAGAGTGGTGAAGGCTGCACAGAGGACTGTTGAGTCAGTCTCCCCACCATCACAAACATCTATCTACACCTCCAGATACAAAAAGAGGCCCACCTGCATCCTGAAGGGCCCCACTCACCCAACACACACACTTTTTGCCCCGCTCCCCTCAGGCAGGAGATTGTGGAGCATTAAGTGTAGAACCAATAGACTGAGGAACAGATTTTACCCTGAAGCTGTTACTCATAAACATCTAACCAGAAAAAAGTAACTCTAATGCCACTTTAATTGGACATTTTAAACTTTATCTGTGCTGCTGATTATCCATGCTGCTGGTTTCTTACCCATTAGCTGCTATATTCATACCCATCTGCTCACAATAGACTCATGTTCTAGTTGCTGTTTAATACACAGTAGTATATTACATTATTACTGTTTAGAGTATATCTTAGATGGGAGAGGGAAGGAGGGGGGAGTGGTGGTGGAAGGGTTAAAGAAGGTGGACCTGTGATCGGAAGGTCGCTGGTTCAACTGCCCAGACTGACAAGATCAAAATGTGGGTGGGGAAAAGTGAAACACCCACACCTGCCTCCACCCTCATTTGCCCCACTCAGGGCCCTTGAGCAAGACCCTTAACCCCCACCATCTGCTCCCCTGGGGTACCCTAGATGCTAGCTCTCTGCTCCACACAGAAGGCTGTGGTAGCTCAGTGGTCTGTCGTTGTGTCAGGATGCACATTCGCTGTAAAAACAATTGCCAAGCCTTCGTGCTCAATGGTTCAGTGGCGACCCGAGGAAGAGAACAGCCGAAAGAAGAAAAAAAAAATCCTGTTTTTGTGATTTAGGCATGCAAAGTTTCAAAGGAAAATCCACACAATACGAGACCACAGATGTGTGAAATGAGACTGTGAAAGATGAATATGAAAAGTTTATTGTTGGCAGCTTGGATGCTAACAGCTCCTTAAAACATCCATCCATCCATCATCGTCTGATGGTTCCGAAGTCGGGTCATGGGGGCAGCAGCTTGAGCAGGGTACTTAAAATATTGGGTAATTTAGGTATTTGGTTCTTTGCTTTTAGTTTCAGATATTCTTTATTGTCATTCGCACCACATGTGGTGGAGCAAAATTATGTACACAGAGTCCCAGAAACGTCCAACAGTAAAATGTAAAAGAAAAACAGCAATAAGATCCAAGATATGAACTAAGAAAAACATAAACTAAATATACACTAAACACTAATAGCATAAAAACAATACGCCGAACAGCAGCACGAACATGAGCATGAGTCTGTGTGAGCAGACGAGCACGCATGAACACAGCAACATGAAATGGATCAGCAGCAACATGAAACAGATCAGCAGCAACATGAAACAGATCAGCAGCAACATGAAATAGATCAGCAGCAACATGATGTGATATTTCACAGTGATTATTCTGGTTAGAAATTCATGAGTCTAACAGCCTCAGGGTAGAAGCTGTTCCTCAGTTCCTCAGGTTCTACACTTAATGCTCCTTAACCTCCTTCCTGAAGGGAGCCAGGCAAAAAGTGTGTGTGCTGGGTGGGTGGGGTCCTTCATGATGCAGGTGGCCCTCTTTCTGTATCTGGAGGTGTAGATGTCTGTGATGGTGGGGAGGCTGACTCCAACAGTCTTCTGTGCAGCCTTCACCACTCTCTGCAAAGCTTTTCTTTCTGCAGCTGTGCAGCCTCCATGCCACACGTTGATGCTGGAGCACAGGATGCTCTCCACTGCACACCTGTAGAAGGAGGTGAGGACTGAGCTTCCCAGAACAGATTTTTAGCAAGATAATCAGAAACAAACTGTTCATATATTCAAAGAGCACCGACATTTGAAGTTTTAATGTTATAACCATGTTTTGTTATGTTAGAAAACTAAGCTACAAGCAACAATATAAGTATATAAGTTCTTCTTAAAGACCGAGTTTGTCAGCTTCATTAAAACTGTGACTAAAATGATAGAAACGTCACAGTTGATGCAAATTTACAAACCTAATCTGTAGAACTGAATTTCTGCTCCTCTAAAATCTTCTCCACCAGCTGCTGCTTTCATCTGGTCAGTTGAGATGCTGGCTGGAAGATCTCCATCTTCCACTTGGTGCTGATGAAGCTGAGAGAACAGAGGTTTCTCTTCATCATCCTCACTCTTCAAAGGAACTGCAGTGAAGGAGAACCTGGTGTCATCAGTCTCCTCCTTCACACTGAGCTGCTCTACATCCAGACTGCTCCTCAGTTCCTCCTCTTCCTCCTTTATGTTGAGGATCTCTAGGTCCTCCTGGTCCACACCAGAACTCCATTCTTCAGGATCTTCTTCTTTAATCAGCACCGTCTGATGAACATCTGCAGGACAGTTGTAAATTTATATTCACACAAACATCACTGGCGTTATCACGGAGTTCACTGATCAGATCAAAAACAACATCTAATGCTGGACGTCAGAAAAATGTCCTGAAAGTAAATCCATAAAAGAGAGAGGTCTTAATGGCTGACTCTCAGAAAATGGTCAGACATAAAGAGCTTTCAGTCGGTTCTTTTAAGGAACAAATTAAACCTGTTGCAAAAAATCTTTTAAACTTGTTCCAGATTCTCATCCAGTTGTTTCTCCTATCATTATCCAAGGTAGAATAGGTCTGCAGGGCCAAGGGCAACATCTCCTCTTGTTGTATTTTTATAAAATAATCAAAATAAAAATTTGCAATGACTTTGGACTTTCAGGGCGGAGATTTGAGTTGCCGGATCCAAGCAAACGGTTACCAGAACGCACCCCGTCAAAATTAAAGAGTTCCAGGATCCTGTTCTGGCAGGATCCGGCTCAAATTAAGTCCTGCTTGAAGAAATATATAAGATAAAAACAAAATAATCTACTTCACTTGTTCATCAGTTTTCAACAACACAACGGTATTTTTCCCCCAAACAAAAATGGTAGTTTGACGTGAGGATGACGTCACACTGACTTCAATTCTATTCAATTCAATCTTTATTTATAAAGGTTAGTCTCATTGAGCCTCAAGGACTCATTTACAAGAGAGCCCTGTTTTAAACAAAGACCACAAATAAGGTACAGACAACAACAGACAATCATATAAAAATATATAAAAATTAAAAGTAAATTAAAGATATAAGAGAACACACAAAAAAGAGGTACATTATAAATCGGTATAAAATACTAAAAAAAGGAACATGTCTGCGTTGGTTTTAGCCATGAACTTAACAGTTGTTTAAAGTTCCTTAGAGGTCAAGCTCGAGATCTTTTATCAAGGTGTTCCAGGTTACAGGAGCCGAGTAGGTAAAGGCCCTTATGCCTAGTTCGCGAATTATCTAAAAAAAAAAAATTATATCTCAATATCTGAGCATTTAACAAATCTAAATCATTTTTTAAAAACCGAACTGATCTTTGACAGAAAAGCTTTATCTAGTAATAAAAGGTCAGGTCTCTGTTCGTAAATATGTAGTTTTAACATTACTTCCACACTAAATTCAGTTCAATGACTCTGAAGTAAATTGCACCTTTATAACAGCCTTTTTGGATCCATCAACAAGGTTCTGGCTGGATTTTAAAAGAGCTAAAAGAGGTTGGTGAGACAGCAAAGGTGCCACACGATCCTCTACAGATGCTAAGTCACTTAGCTACAAAAACTGCAGCTAACATCCTCACACTAAATAAGATGAATGTATTCATACAAACCTAATGTGTTCAGACGATCTCTGGGGTTCAAAACAGCATCCAGGACTTTGTTTTGTTGCATTTCTTTCTTTTAAACGAGACCGTTCCTCTTCATGATCTGGGCCTGTTTTGTCCAGAAACTCCGACATTTATTCCGCTGCTGCTTCCGGTCGTTTAGCCTGACGTCTCCACATCTGCTAGCTTTCGTTGATCTAAAGTTTCCTTTAACAGTTACTGAGCCGAACTCAAGAAGGTGGATTTACTGTAAACGTTACAGAAAGTTTATAAATCGATGAAAAGTAGAGACGATCAGTCTGAAGGTAAAGCTAAGCAAGAAGGGGTCTCTGCAGGCAAATTCGGAAGGCGTATCTGGGCGCTCATATCTGATTGGACTATAGGAAAGTGGGCGTATCTGGGCGGTCATATCTGATTGGACGATAGGAAAATGGGCGTTTCTGGCCGGCCGGATCTGATTGGACGATAGAAAAATGGGCGTGTCTGGACGGCCACATCTGATTGGACGATAGAAAAATGGGCGTGTCTGGACGGCCACATCTGATTGGACGATAGAAAAAAAAAAAGGCTGAACGATAGAAAAAAAAAGGCTGAACGATAAAATGCCGTAACCACAGACACATGATGTCTAAAAACAAGGCGTTATTGGCAGATTGTGTTAACCACAGGCATATTATGTCTATGGTGTTAACCGGTTCGACATTAGCGGCGTCTCGGTTCGACATCGCTCCAGTATACTGCCGCGGCGTCTCCATAACTTCTTTTTTCGACTCTCTTAACACAGAACTTCCGGTTACATTTCAAAATAAGAGCAACATAACTGGGTAGTGGGGAGAGCTAAATGTTAGGTTTTTTTTTAATACCTAGCCATAACATTAAAAAAA